GCTCATGTGTCCAAATTTGTGGCATTCAGGCTAGCACTTTAAATAGACCATGAGGACTAAGGTGTTTTGCCCCCCTCAGTAGAGATGTGTCCAGCTCAGGACTGACAATGTGCGGAGAGAAGGAGCTTAGGGTATGTTGCTTGTGCTGCACATGTCCAAAAACCAGAGGAGGACTCATGTTTCTATGTCTGTCAGTCTGGCTTACTTCCCAGGCACTAAACTGCTGTAAACATCAGAACTCTGGAACATTGTCTTTAAATAGCCAGAGACACTGGTTAGCGAAAGGTCACTGGGGGAGCAGAAACATTAGGTTATAGCCAAATAACAACTTCAGCAATAATGGGAAATGAGGTGGGTGTACTGGTTGTACTATCACAAAATTAGCTTTGCAGGAGCTGTAACTTGGGACAAGATTATAGCTGTGACTATAACTTAAGTAGTTGTGTAGGGCTACACCTTCCCCTTGAAATGGGTGATAGACATGAAAGAGGTCACCAGATGGTTGTGCTTAGTGTGAAGCCAAATGAAATTCAGCTGATACTTGAAGAGATTCAATCCTTTTCAGTTTGGAACAAAACAAGCCATTGTAATTAGCCTTGTGTCAACCACTTGCATGAATACCCAAAGGAGGTCTGGTTACTTGTCCAGAATCTCTTACATCTGGAAACTGGGTTAGAAACCAGACTCTTGTCAGATCATTAATTTTCAGGTTACACTGAAAATGTAAGGATTGCTTTGTACATTATAATGCACATACATTACCACATTCATCTTCTTTCTAGCCCAAACCTCCATTAGCCAATCCCACTGTACCTTATCTTGTTCATACTCCCCTTTAGGACAAAGCCTACAGCTGAGTACATGTTGCATTGTTTAAAACTCAATGGTAAGAGTGAGAAGCAGAATCACAAGGTCTCCAGTAAGATGCTGTGGTAACAGCCTGCAGTTAGTTCTAAGCAGCAAGGAAATGTACTTCCTGAAAGGCAGCCTCCAGCAAAACCTGGGCTCAGGTCAGGTACTGCTGTATACACCAAATCTGTTGCTTTGAACTGCACTCTAAGGGAAGACAGCAGCTAATACTATCTACAGAGAACTGTGATTTCTGAAACTGTTGAGTGGTCTTTTAAAGCAGTCCCACACAGAGCCTCCGTTACAACAGATAATCAGAGTAAGAGCTTCTTCAGAAAGAAGAGGGGTGAGTTCCTTGGCAAGTACTTGGAAAAAAGCATTTCAAGCTATTTGTGCAGGGAAAGATCAAAAAGAGATAGAAGATTTCTATTCTTCTTAATAAGCAACTCAATAATAGAAACAATCCTACATGTTCCAGCTGCTTCTCCAAGAAACCAGCATTAGCTGTCTTGTGTCTAAGCTTCAGCCACTTGCACCCTGGAGCTGGGCATGGACAGAGACGGCGGACACAGTACAGCAACAGAGCAGATGCAGCTACATCACTTTAGGCCTATATGGAAAACTTTCCCTGGGATTTGGCCTCAGACACAAAACTAAATGCAACACAAGTCATGTTTGCAGACAACATGACACTCCTGTTAAAAGAGGAGGGCTGTTCCATGTTGGTGGCAAAATGTAAGAGACTGAGTTGTGCTTTATGGAAAACCAGCTAAGGGTACTAGAGCACAGCTCCATTTTGCAGCTAAGGTGATTCCGCTCCTGTTGGCAGTGTAAAGGCCTCCAAATGAGCTATGCCAATCCTCAGAGCAAGGGGACATTACCCAGCAGAATCATTACAGGGCATACAAAATTGTGCAGTCCATCTAAGAGGGACTACTACTGCATTTTAGGTTGGAAGACCCTTTAAAATCGAATTATTCAGCCCACCTTCATGTCCAAATAGAACTGTATCTCCCAGTGATACTTCGGCTTGGAGAACCACATGACTTTCAGGAAAACAGAGCTTAGCAAATTATTGCTTCTGCATTTTACGTATTGAAGATTTGGTGGGTGACCTACAGACATGACTTTTGGGGTGTTGAAATGGCAGCTCAGATAGGCCAAAGGAAACATCCCTCCCCTCCTTTCTGCAGTTAAGCACAGATCTACAGTTGTTTGGGAACCAACAGTATGGGAACAGTTTAGAAGCAAGTTTATCACAGGCAGATTCCCTCAAGGTTAAACATAATCAGCCAGGGCCAGCTGCTCTTAGAGCCTGCTTTTGATTTCCAGCATTTGAGAGATCACCTGTAAGTTATCATAAAAATCCAGGAAAGCAGCAATGCTGGAAGCAGTTCAAGCTGAAAGTCAGACTAAGTACACACCACTGCAGTCACAGTCTCAGGTGGGAACTCTGATAAAATGACAGGGTAGAATGACAGCTTAAGAGGAACCTGTAGGCGGGTAGGCATTAAACCTGTCCCAGACAACAGACTCGTCACCTAAGTCACACAAGAAGAGGTTGGTGAAACAGCACAAAATTGTCTAATTGCATTAGGAAGAAGAACAACTTATCTAATTCATGTGTTGTGCTGCCAGAAAACCAGATCAGAGCTCACAACACTTAGAATTTTGGATACCTTAAGACATGGAACAAAGCGGCAGGTAAACCCTTCTCATCTGTATTCAGGATCAAAAACCACTGGATTTTTTTGTGGCCATCACAAATTTAATACCAATGAAGGAGAATGAGAAGTTTGATGGTGCCTTGCACTTAAAACCTTCCATACCATAAACATCAGGGAACAACAGCTGGTGCTGAGCAGTCTCCCAGTCTAGATGAAGCAATACCAACAGTCCCAGAGCTAGATGAAGCAAAATCAACACCATGACTAAAGCAAAGAGAAAGGAGCTTGCCATGGAGCAGTTTTATATTTCATCATGGTTAGTGTTTGAATTCTTCATTCCTTCCTATACCTTAGCAAAGCTCTATAGAGTATTATGAATACATAGTGCCACTGCTTACTGAAACAGTGAACTGTCCTTTCACAGGCAGCTCTTGCCTTGAACTTAGAATCATAGAATAGTTAGGGGTGGAAAGGACCTTAAGATCATCCAGTTCCAACACCCCTGCCATGGGCAGGGACACCTCACACTAAACTATCATCCAAGGCCTCGTCCAACCTAGCCTTGAACACTGCCAGGGATGGAGCATTCACAACCTCCCTGGGCAACCCATTCCAGTGCCTCACCACCCTCACAGGAAAGAATTTCCTCCTTATATCCAATCTAAACTTCCCCTGTTTAAGTTTGAACCCGTTACCCCTTGTCCTGTCACTACAGTCCCTAATGAAGAGTCCCTCCCCAGCAACCCTACAGGCCCCCTTCAGATACTGGAAGGCTGCTCTGAGGTCTCCATGCAGCCTTCTCTTCTCCAGGCTGAACAGCCCCAACTTCCTCAGCCTGTCTTCATACAGGAGGTGCTCCAGTCCCTGATCATCCTCGTGGCCTCCTCTGGACTTGTTCCAACAGTTCCATGTCCTTTTTATGTTGAGGACACCAGAACTGCACACAATGCTCCAGGTGAGGTCTCACAAGAGCAGAGTAGAGGGGCAGGATCACCTCCTTCGACCTGCTGGTCACGCTCCTTTTGATGCAGCCCAGGATACGGTTGGCTTTCTGGGCTGTGAAAACTTAATATCCTTTAGCACCTAAAAGTGCTAAGACAACCAGTAACTAATTCTTGAGCCCTTGCAAAAGGTCACCTTCCTGCTGTTAACCTTCTCCCTACAAGAAATGCAAAACTGTCAGGGCTCAGCCTCCATGAGGGGCCAGGCATGGTGAGAGCATGATAAAACACTTACAATGGCCCTGGCCCTTCCTCTCACATGGTGCCCAGAGCAGCTGTTCCTGTAACTGAGCATTCAGAGGGATATTTTTTGCCTAAGCCCCAGTGGGGAATGGCAGTCCTTGCCATCAGTGATTGGATGGAAAGGTTGTATCCTTTGCTGCTGTCAGGCACACTCTGACTATTAGCATCAGGGAAGCACCTCTTTCAGAAGAGGCTCATTTGGCATGTGATATAGCAAGGGACTTACAGTTGGATAACAGCTATACCTCACAGGAGGGATTGTCTGGAAAGGGCAGGCATTGCAAGGGGACAGGCAGAGCCCCTTACCTCAAATGCACCAAGCTCTGACTGCACTGGAGCCATGGGAAGGACCAAGAAACATTGTGCTTTCACAGTGATTTATTAAACCAGACTCTAAGAAAAGCTGCAATATTGGGACAGGCTCCCATGGTTGTTTATGTTCAGTTTGTCTTGGGATCTCTCAGCAGACCTGTTTCAAAGGCTTTCCTGTGTCCCACTACTCCTTGCCCAGCAGCAGAACTTCTCTGGACCAACTGTACAGATATCTTTCTCAGTTCAGTGAAAGGATCTTTGGTAGCCAGTAATCTAACTTTGCAGACCTTGGTCTAATGTGAATAACACACTGTTTAGTAGCTCACTTGACATGTACTCCAGTGTGCAACTGGTGTCCTGAGCACACAGAAGTCCAACCTCTGAGAGGACAGACAGGCTGCAGACAATGGGAGGTGAGCTGCATACAAATGCATGAAAGGATCACTGCTCTCCAGGGAGCCAGCATGAAAAAGCATCTGCCAAAGGGAATCCTTCTAACCTCCTGCCAGGGGGTGAAAAGGAATGACACCATGACAGAGTGACAAACAAGGAGTGACAAGTGTGGAGTGTTATATATGGAGTGACAAGCGTGGAATGCCTCACAACAGGGATCAATCTGTTGGTAATGCTCAGAAACCCCCTGATCCCCACAAAAAGGAGGAAGGACAAAGAGCCTCCACCAAAGCCATCACCTTCACAGTGTCCAGTATCCTTTCCACATACTCATCAGTCACAAAGCCACATCCCAGGCAGACAGGCTAGTAACTCTGGGGTAACAGTGTACACACTGACATCATCTGAACTCCCTAGGGTGCATCTGTTCTACAGCTGGGGTCCCATTCAGAGGTTTTCACCGATAAAGTAATTCCCTCAGTCATGAGATTGTACCCTTTCTCCTCTACAAAGATAAAAAGAATAGTCCACATACCATCAGAAAGGGCCCTGGACCTTCCTGACCGATTCCATCCAGTGGAAGTGATTCGTGTCTTTCACATCTATGTGGTGATAGCTTGCAACTGCACCTTTCTCTGTCTCTGTCTCTGTTTCCTTTTGTAGGATGGCCATCACTGCTGTTGCTTAATGCCAACGCCGAGTTCATGTCACCTCCTGCAGTCAATGTATGCCTGAGGAGACAGAATAAACAGTTATTAAACCTCCCCTAGATTTGCTGTCATATTGTAACTAGGCACTGGAAATCAAATAAATGTATTATAGAAGATGAGCAGTTAAAATGTCTAGTGAAAAAAAAATCAGATTCAGGCAAAATGGCTTAATCTGCAGCATTAATGAGTAACAGATTGTCCCATCAATAGTATATGAGGAGCAGCACGCAAGAAGGCAAGACTCACACAAGCTCCCAGGAACCTTTGCAAAACGCCCAGCTCAGAAGAATACTCAAGAATATGATTAAGGCTAGGCATGTGTTTAAGTCCCACTGATTTCAGTGAGACTGAGGTAAAAGCTTAAATGCTTTTTTGAATCAAGGTACTTTATTGAACCAAAAAATATTCTGTGCATAAGTCAGAAGCAAGAAGAGCTGGGAAGGCAGAGCTGGCCCAGTTCTGCATGGGTGGACGCATGCGGCTGTCCTGCTACCCCAGCTATGGAGAAGAGGGAGTCATAGCTCTGCAGCCTAAGATCCTTCCCTATGATGCACTTCCTAAATTAGCCTTTACCTATGCCACAAGCTATTGGTTTTTTTTTAATGCAGTCCTCAATATAAGGAGAAAAATGAAAAGGGATCCGCAGACTTTGCCCAGGACCAAGCATACATCCTGACTTCTTGCCTGTGTGGCACAGGTCACAGAAACATCCCTGCACAGCCATCTCGTGCTCACTGCTGCGCAGCACGTGCACAGTTGCAGATGATCAGTACCAGTTCCAGGATCCAAACAGGACCAGGGCCACACTTCACAGGTAGAATGAAAAAGTAGCTTCTGTCCCAAAGAGCTTGCTGACTTAATGAATGCTGACTGAAGGAGAGCAGGGGAATAAAACAGAGAAAGCTCAAGGCCTTTAAGGACAGAAAGGGAGTCTGAGAAAGGGAGATAGTAAAAAACCAGACGGATAGTATTTCTTCTATTGAATACATGCACCTAAACCCCAGCAGAAACAGTAGAAGGATATGAATTTGGTGTGCAGCTCTGCCCACCAGGAGGGCCCATGTTCGTATTAATTCAGTATGTCTGCAGTGCCATTAGCTAGGGGCTGCAGAGAAATAATGAAGCTGCTTCACAAAAGCAATGAAAACAACTGGCCAGCTCTTGCCATGGCTAATTCAGGCAGGCTCTGTGTTTCTTATGTGTTATTATTCAGTTCTAACTTATTCCTTTATTTCTTATGTCTGATCAGGCAAAGCATACATAACACTCTCTTCTGCACGCACACTATAATCTGTTTCTATTCCCTTAACAAAAATCTTCTGGAGCAGCAAGGGTCAGCGTGGACAGTGGTTAGGAAAGCAGCAAAAATCAGTGTGACTGGTGTTAGTGAATAGCCTGCCCTTTCCATGAATGCTTTGCTGCCTCAAGCTTAAGAACAGGAGGTGTTTAAAGAGAGGAGAAGATGTCTATTAATTGGCAAAGCCTCCGGAGCCTAGGGCTTTCATCCAGATGTTACAATGAGGTGAATCAAAATCTCCAGGGTGTTTGTGGAGGGCTGGAGCTCACAATTTTCCTTCTGTGACAAACAAGTTAGGTAAATGTGCACAAATATGGGGAAAGGGAAGGATAACTCTGCCCTGCTCAGTGCAAAAATCCTTAGTTATGCCTCTCTGGCAAGACCAATTGTCTTGGTGTTTAATCTCTTCATATTCTTTAAACAACTCAGTGTTAAATCTAAAGTAGCTCGATTCATAGCAGGATCTCTGCAAAGAAACTCCTTAAATGAGTCTGCTACTATTCATACCACAGACCCTCTTTAAATCCCTCTGGGAAAAGAAGACTGAATCTGCAGTCTAGAAGCAGAAGACATGGATTTCTTCTTAACTGCAACTAGAAATCATTGCAATGACCTTGGGTGAGTTCCTGGTGCCTGTCAGGCAAGAGAGAGTTTTACTCGCCTGCATGGGAGACCGTTAGGGCTGGAGCTAGGTATTTTGACCAAGTCCTTTGAGATTCTGGAGGGAAAGGTTTCAGAACAAGACAAAGGCATGGTCCTTCCTCATCCACCCATCCCATGGGGAGGGACGATGACACAGCCCATTGGAGCAGAAACTGCTGAGCTGAAAGGAGGACTCACATTATGACCATACCCTTAATTACAGAGGTGTGTGCCTCTTGGCTTGCACCTCTCCGCCTGAACACAGCGCGCTCGGCTGTAAGTGCTAGTTAGGAGCTTGCACATGTGCCAGGAAACTGCCTGGGTTTGATGCCATGGAACAGACACGTTCATTGTCTGAGTGCTGGGGCCCAACCAAGAATGGCAGCACACGGTTATGAGTGCAGGTGTTACTGGCAGGTGTTTTGTTTCCGAGGAAGCTGCTTTCTGGCTGAGCTGCTGCCAGCCCATCTACCCGCCTCCCCATTGCCACACAACCTCGCCTCCCCCAGGGACTTCCAGGCAGGCCTATTTGCAAACAGCAGGCAGAGGCAATGAACACATCAGGTAATTAAATGGCAGATCAATTCAACTTAGCTTCTCTTGGGAATGCAGCCCTTGGGAGACAGAAGAATGAGGCAGCAGGAGACAAAGGCAAAGAGAAAAATTGAGAGATAGAGGAGAAAAGGAGTAGAGAAGAGCAAAGATGGAAACACAGCAGGCAGAAAGGGCTACGCACAATGCGGTGTGAAGCCACAGCAGCAGGCAGGAGGCGTTCAGGGGGAAAAGGGCATGGCTAGTATAGGCAGCATGAGAAAGACAACATTGTAGGGAAGACATAGGAAAGAGAGAGATGTCTAAGGGAAGGCAGAAGCAAGATAGATTACAAAGAGACTGGAAAGAGTGAGATTAATGAATACAACAACTGTAGAGAATGGCCCTGACTGGCTACCTGGATCTCAAGCACAATGAGTCCCCTGTAAGTGTTTACACACCTGCAAAAAGGTAAGCTTTATACATTTGCAACCATCAGCAAAAAGTGCATTTGTAATTTCCTATTCACTTTATGTAACCTAAGATGGAGAATCAGTGGATATTAAGAGGACTTCCCTCCCTGAAATGTGTCATGATCCCAGGAGCTTTCTGTTACTAATATGAAAAACAGCCACTGGAACTGACAAGAAGGAGAGAAGGAAATTAAACAGCTTGGTATCACTCAGACCACCTGAGTGGAACACCAGAGAAAAAACAGCAACTCCTAATTAGGTTTCAGGTTCTATCTTTAATAATCATCTGAGATATTGGTGGTACTAACCCACTTAGTAATGCTAGTCTCGGCCCTTCAAGAGTCATGAGTAAGGTACCAAAAATCTGAGAGCCTTTTCTTTTTAGAAGTCACATGATTCTCATTTTCCTCTTCTTTAAAGCAACCCCGGGATTTTCATTGTTTCCTTTTTGGACTGCAACAGGGGCACTAGAAAGGTAATTACATATTGAAAAGAAAGATGAACTTCACAACTGTAATCCGACTTTGAGACAGGGAGAACACTAATAGCTCGGGGACCCAGAGGACGTTCGAGAGTCAGCAACACAAGGGACCTTTCCTTGCACGACCTTCATCCTGTCAGGCTCCCAGCAGTGGCCTCTAGCAGTAGGTCTTTGCACTGCCATCTCCTTGGGAACAGTGCAAATGCCTCTCTCCTTGCCTCCAACTGCACTGCTGCCAGCTCTGCAGGACGCTGCCCCATCCTAAGGGTGTGCTTCTCACATCCCTTTTACAGCACAGCAGGAGCCAGGCACAGGAGGGACATCTGAATGTCAGCGTTTGAAGCTGCTGTGACAAAGGACAAGTGAAAATATCTCCTAGTGATAGGCCAGGGAAGCCATGTCTTTCCAGGCTTTTGGCTAAGGCTCTGTAGTATCATGCTATGCTCTTAAAAACTCCTTTCTTCATGGCTTCCGTCCAAGCATATCAAGGCTATTTACATACACCCACCATATTTACAAGAGTGCTGTGAAGAAGCAAAAGACAAAACCATACCAAACCGTGCAATGAGTCAGCAGCAGAAATGCTAATAAAGCCAGACTCCTTGCTGCCTCCTTCTTATTAGGTAGACAACACTGCCTTTCTCCTGCTCCCGTCAACTGTCCTGTGACTGATTTTGAAGAATAAACCTATGAAGAGTTAATGTTCCAGTTTCTGCTGAGGCAGACGAGCCAAGACCATTAAATCCAACATTAGGGAAGACCAGGCAATAGGTAACCAGCTGGGAAACCCCAGGCCTGCCTGCTTCTCCCCTCACGACCAGCGCATTAGAAATACTTTTTTTTTACCACCTTTGATTTGGCTCTTGCCAGGAAAGAAAATGAAGTTGCTGAGTATGAGAATGTCTGACACCAGTTTGTCCTACACAGTGAAATCTGTGCAGTCCACACTGCACTTTGAAGCAGAGTACCAATAACTGGCACTGTCAGGGCCCACAGGTACCTGCCACAGAGGGACTGAGGATGAGTTTATCAGCCAGCAGTCACCCTCTCTACCCTCAAGCCAGTGATCTCCATTGCCAAAGCACAGAATGGAATTACAGGCTGCACTACAGCTAGGCAGGAGGCAATCACACAGCTAGGAGGGTGGACAGGGAAGAAAGCAGAAAAAATTAAGCTAACAAGAACTAGGAGGGTGGTAGAAGATGGAACATCTGGTCAGCTGGCTTGTTCTCTGGCCTGCAAGCACATGCACACAGGCAGATGTTGCCATATACACACATTCCTCCTGTCTGCTAAATCTGGGCATCTGGACTTCTATCAGCTTGTACGGCCAGCTCTACACCCCTCCTCAATACAGATTCTTTGGCTACCAGATCCTGCAAAACAAACTGTCTTCATGTGGATGACACAGACCTGAACAACTCTCTGAAATCTGCTTCTTGCCAAGGGGTGAGGCTGTCAACAGCTCAACCTTTCAGCCTCTGCTTGTCTGTCCTCATAGGTTTTCCACAGTACTTACACTGTAAGTGGGAAAGGGCACACTGGCAGAAGCAGCTGCAACCTCAGCTCTTCCCTCTTTCTCCACAAACAGAAACAATGCATGGATTAGATGTTGCATGCTCCATAAAGGCCAGATTGCATAGTGGTCATGCTGGCAGAGAGCCTTTTTGTCACAGTCCTGTCCCTAGTGCAGACCTGAAGCGAGCAGCACAATGGCTTCAGCAGCTGTGGCTGCATTGGGAAGGTTCTCCTAGGGCTGGAGTGGAGAGGGCCTGGAGGAGCCTATCAAGCCAGATGCTTCCATCTCTTTTGCCCTGCTGCAGCACTGGCATGATTTATATTCCTAGTGCACAGCTGGAGACAAGCCATAGCATAGTGCTGGAGAATGAAGAAGCAAGTTCCTGCAGGAAGGCTGGAGGTAACTAGAAAGGGGAGATAACTAGAAAGGGGAGATTAAGTCCTCCTAACTCCGAGTGAATCCTCACTTCCACTGTTCTTTGTCATGAGACACCAGGGCTACCTGGAACCTGCCAAGAGGATAGCTGAGGAGTCCTAGCCGTGCTTTAGTGGCCTTGTTTGAAGCAATCAGCTCTTTCTGATTTGAGTTCTCTTTTTTCAAACCATACATTTCACTGTGTCTACACTGTCATCCAGAGTCACTCCAGCACCTCGAAACATACCAGAAAGGGGTTTGAACTATCTTGCTACTCTTTTTCATGCAATGTATGATCCAGCTACTCACATTCTCTCTTTCTGACTTACTGAATTACTGCTCCTTCTTTCACTTACATCATGAAACGAATTCTTGAATAGAACCCCAGTCTGGCTTTTTCAGTCCAGAACCCTTAACATCACTGATTTTCTCAGCACCGTGGAGCTATATCCAGTTTTGATGGGTTTTAATGGATGCTCTCTCACAGAAATCTGCCACATGAAATAAAAGGAGCAGATAAATGTGACAAATAATAAATGAGGAATGTATCTCCATGTAATAAAAGCTGACTAAGCTTTGTAGACATAAGATGTATTAGCTCACTTCTATGAGGCGCTTGCTACAAATTAAAGGTTGCTCAAGGCTGTCCAACTCACATCAAGACCTACAGGTTTTCAAAGGCAGTTCATGGAGATACCAGATCTCTAATCTGGAGGAATATGGTAAGAACTTCACAGTTGCCTTGGTGCTGGCTGCAGGAAAGCCATGCTGTCTGTGTCCTGGAAATTAAAAACTCCAAATCCAGACATCAGGTCATTAAAAAAAAAACCCAGAAGTCAATAGTCTGTGCATGTTTGTGCTTCCAAGTCTTTCTCCACCGGTAGGCAGGTCAGAAACTGAGACTTTAAAAAATGAAAGCAGAGACTCACATAATTGCCTGATCTGAGAGCTTAGGCTTTAACATCAGATTTTACAAGGCTTATAATAAAAGTGTGGTGGCTGGTAGCATGGGGGATTCACATTCCCTTCTTTGTGGAACAAAAAGAGAGAAGAACACACACATTCCAAATACATTCTGTCACCTGTATTCCTCTTGATCTTTCTGAATTTATTGAGCCTGTCAGCTGCAATGGAGCCCAGTTCAACATGTGATCCCCCAGTGGTAATGTTCACAAAATAGGTTTGCAGTGTGTAACACCACCCCTATAATAAATGCTGTGGTTTATGAACTATTCCTTTGGCAGCTGAAAAGGAGCACTAAAAATTGATATAAAGGATGCTGACCACTCTGCCTGGCTTTATATCCTGGCTTTTTATTCCTCCCCTCCCTTTTTTCTTCAGTATTTGTTTCTTTCTGAAACCTTTATCTTCCAAAAGTTCTTCTGTATTTTCAATCTACCTTCAGTCTCTTTTCTCTACAGTGATTCTGATTTATTTTTGTTTCTCTATCCTCTCTTCTGACTCGTTCCCTTTAGCTGTCTTTTAGCATTTTGTAATGTATAATTTTTCTTCTGTGTCAGGCTGGCACCAACTGAGATGTGATCAGATCTTTTATCCTGAGGGATGCAATGTCTCTGTAAAAAGACTTTGTGCCCTGCCAAAGCAGAAAGATTCTCTCTGCACCATAATTTCCAGACGTGCCACCCTCTTGAGCCCAATTTAGTTTCTGTGTTATCACCTTTCATACAATCATCGCCTGTGGTCATGATATCTACATGTCCCTGTTCTAGCCACTGTGACTCGCTGAGAGACAAGTGCAGGGGAGAAGCTGGTTGTTACCTACTGCTGCACATGGACCATCATCTTGGATTAGGGTTCTGGTCTGTCACCTAGCCCAGATCTATCATTTGCAAGTCTGTTCCTATATTGTGGACAGAGCTGAGGAGTGCAGGACTCAGTAACAGCCAAATTCCCATATACTTATTCCTACCTACAAAGTGCTTTCCTGGCCCTTTCTCAGTTTTTAAGCAAAATAATTCTTTTTTATAATTTTTATATTACTGAAAATTCCTAATTTCCCAATGGAAATTTCCCCCTGTTCTCACCTTTCTGACCAATTCTGGAGAAGCAAGCCCTTGCACAGGTCTGCCAGGGTAGACTGTTACTTGCTGAATGCTGATCGGTGAGTTTCTGGACAGAAAATACAATCCCATGCTCTGACAGAAGGCAACTGGCAATTATACAGACATTCAGCTCCCTGAGGGCTGCTGCAAGGGGAGCCTGGGGTAGTGAAGTGACTCATAGAAATCCAAGATTACAGTGATGATCAAGATGGTTTTAAGGTCCTTTCCAACCCTAACCATTCTATGACCCTGGGACCTCTTAGTCGCTTTCCAATACCTGAAGGGGGCCTACGGGGATGCTGGAGGGGAACTGTTCATCAGGGACTGTAGTGACAGGACAAGAGGTAATGGGCTCAAACTTAAACAGGGGAAGTTCAGGTTAGATACAAGGAAGAAGTTCTGTACTGTAAGGGTGGTGAGGCACTGGAACAGTGGTAAATGCTCAGTCCCTGGCAGTGCTCAAGGCCAGAATAGAGTGAGACCTCCTTGCCAATGGCAGGGGGGCTGGAACTAGATGATCTTAAGGTACTTTCCAACCCTAACTTTTCTATGATTTTATGATTCTATATGGCTTCCCTGAGCCTTCCTGATGTGTAAGTAGACCCAGCACCCTCTTCCCTTGCTGGTTACTCCCTGCTATGTGGTACTGTAACACCTCATCCAAGCTGTGGAGCATTCTCACCTCCCAGTTGCAGCAAATGGAGGCACATCCCAGGGTCAGGCCTTGCCTGCCTGCTGCATTCTGTACCCAGCAGCTCTGCTTCAGCTCTGGAAGAGGCTTTATAGCTGATGCATTGTATTTGCATAGGCCATTGTCATTCTCTGCGCGGCTCCTTGCAGCTGGCACCCTGAACTGGAGAAATATCTTCTTTAAGGAGAAGCAGGAACGATGCAGCTAAAGATAAAAATAACAATAATTTTACTAGATGAAAATTCATGTTAAGCACTTAGAAAGCAATAAAAAGTCAATTTGCTTTCTTTCAATTATTTTGGTTATTCAGTTTGGGGAAAAAAAAACAACAAAAAGAGGGGTTAAAAAAAGGGAAAAAAGGAGAAAAATTTCCTGGTCATAGAAGGTCTGTATTTCACATCAGCACCTTCATGATTCCTCACCCCTCTGTCCTCAGCACCCCCAACCCTGCTCAGGTTCCACTCCTGGCCCACATGAAAACAGCCAGAATCAGGCAGGGCTGAGGCTTCCCAGCACGTACAAAGGAAGGGAGAAGAGAACCGATAACTCAGGAGTACTTGTTGCCTCTTTCACACACGAGCACCTTTTCAGAGGAAGCAGAAAAGATAAAGGCAGAAATTACTGCTCTTGCACAATATATGCCAAGTTCATAAGAGCAGTGTTTAACACTTAATCAAAATGGTTTGACAATGTAAAAATTAGGTTTTTGAATGTCATTAGTGCCTTATAATAGGTTCAATTTATATCATTCCCATCCCTGTTTTTTTCAGCTCTGCTAATTGTTTTTATTCATTTCTTTCATTTTTTACACTGTTGTCTTGTTGGTTTTAATTTTTAATTCTCAGAGGACTTTCTCTTTTACCTTGTTAATTGCTCTGGGTTTGAAAAGCCTGGATCTGTCATTCTTTTTCTCCTAGAGCAGCTACAAGGGATGTTTCAGGCATGTTCTTTTCCATTTGTAGGCAAGCTCTCATCCGGGATAATTTGAGCAAAAAAGCCTTGCTTTTAGGTCAGTATGAGCATCTTTTTTTTTGTAGTGTGATTCACAGAAAAGTTCTCTTGTATTGACCTGTAAATTTCCTTCTGCACTGGCATGCAGGAATCATTTGGTATTGGCATGAAAAATGGACCTCTGTTCTACAGTTGATATGCAAACTCTTTTCTATTTGGAAGAAGATGAAAGCTCTCTTCTGCTCTGGCTTGCGAGGTCTTTTCTGTGTGGGCTCTCCTTTTTGTCACCCACCCAAGACAAGCACCCCCCCCATTTCTTTTCCCTTGCCATATACTAGAATGTTCCAAGTCCTGGTTATCACAGAGCTGCAAGATGTCGTTTGCATGGAGACATGTATTGGCATCTTGTTAGTTTTTTTTCTGCCAGTATAAATGGAATTGGTTTAAATAATTCCACTGACATCTCTGGGGCAGAAGACCATTTTGGGAATGACCACTTTTTTAGGAAAATGCTGACTCTTGATTGTACTTGGCAAAGGAACATACCTGGGGTCTTAGGAGGAAATCTGAAAAATCAAACCAAAAAATCTAGGCAAAAATACAAGCAGTGGGCAAACGATAACTCTCTGACTACTCTCACTCATAGACAGATGAAGAAACACTTGCAGGGGCTTGCTCCAGCGTGACTTCTTGTTCCCTAGAGGTAACCAAAGCCTGTAAACATGGAAATGTTTTAATCCGTCCCCCATTGCCAGCGAGAGTGGGCTGTGGTTTCACACCAGTAAAGCTGCATTACATTGGCACTGCAGGGACACTTGGAAGTTTATTCTCACTCTCACGCCCAGTCAGTTCAGTCACACTGACTGCACGATCCTGCTGGCGCTGGTGCGCGCCGACTGCTCAGGAAGCCGTTTCGGTGCTCTAACCAGGCAGGAAAGTCTTCACTCTGAAGGAGAGCACCTTAGCAAATCAGAGAGTGCTGGTTTTCTGCTCAGCAGTAGTGCTGGCAGAGCTCAATCTTGCTCTCCACCATTTGAGAGGGAAAGGGTCGCTATGGTCATGAGTTACAACTGCTGATGTCCAAAAGCATCTTTGCATGAGCATCTTTTGCATGGCAACCAAAGGCCTCCCAGCCAAGATGTCGGGCATGAGCTACATGATAGTTTTATTCATTTGGCCTTTAATAGTGTTTTTACTTCTTCCTGCTGGGGAAATTTGTACTCTTGCATCCTGCCTAGAGGTCTACATTGCCTCTACTTCTCCTCCTCCACCCACTGCAGCTTGTGTATTTTATCCCCCAGTGGATACAAATGCAAAGGTGTCTTCCTTCCTAGTTAGCCTCAAGATCCCCTGTAAGTAACATGGAACAGGTCCCAAACGAAAGCTTCAGTGGCAATGCTCATCAGCAGAGCCCTACCTGACAAGCTGCCAATGTGCTGCCTGGCCCTGGGAGACCTCTCTTTTGATTTAACATACCTCTGGCTCCAGGCAACTTCTGCTCTATGACAGACAGACATGGCTTCATCAAAGGTCCTCCAGAGCCTTAAATCAGGAATGAATACAACCTGTACCTATGAGATGCCAAGAACCTACACTGATGCCTGATAAGAGGAAGGCCTTTTCCTCACCTTTCTCTATATTTAGCATCATTTCCAGCAGTGTTTCTAAAATTGCCAGCTGCAGTAATGTGATTCATACCCCCACCACTGCCAGCAATGAATAAGGGGAGTGTAAATGACATGCAGGAGAAAACCATGAGCAGTATAGCCCAAATCAGGGCTGTAATGGTGTATTCTTTAGGGCTTCTACTGATATCTCCATCTCCAGCAAACTAAGAGCAGACAGGCAGAGCACCTGTATTAGCTGAGAGAACCCATTCCTGAGGCAGAAGAATGACTGTTGCGATGGTTGTCATCGCCTGCCCTGAAACCAGCCTGGGAAGAGGCATTACTGCGGCATCAGTCCAAGAGCTGGAGCTGTTACAGGTAAATACCATAAACATCTGAATCTTTTAGGAGGTTCAGTCTGCATATCTGGGCCATTATGGGACATTAGCTAAAATGCTCATTTGAAAAATCATCCTGTGAACCACTACAATGTAGCAGAGGAGCTGGTTTGCTCAGATAAATAATTGAAAACTGAGGCAGAAACCTGCAGCCATATCCATCTGTGTTGTGATCTTGTCAAATCTCATCACCTAATTACTAACAGGCCTTGCTGGTCCATAAAGAAGAGGCAGACAGCCTCCGAAAACAGTGTTGATGATTCTGAGGGAGAATTCTTCTCTCAGAGTTGGTGCTGAACTGAGCCGAAACAGAATTAAAGGGAGCTGTGCTTCTAGCAATGCTTAAAAAGAAATTCAAATGCTGATATCCTTAATTATTGTTGCCACTAAAGCCCTTTGTGCCATGATGAGGCATTTATCCTGTTTGCCCTCATCAACTGAGTATTTGAGAATTACTTATCACGCCCATGAAATATCCATCCTTCATATTGTCTATACAACAGTCCCAGAGGTACACTGTGCTCTTCCTTTCTTTGTACTTCCACACACATTTCCCAGTGCTTTCCAATAGTTGTTCCACAGCCAGGGAGTGATGGTTATTGCCACAGAGCTTGTAAAAGCACACCTGAACCTTTAGGATAAAAGCACATACATTTCCTCTAAGAAATTATATCACTGTTCTCATCGAACATTGTGACAAGGTGTGAATGATCAGAAATGAAAGTAGCAATGAAGTTAGATAGAGGAAAGAGATCTCCAAGATATAGAATCATGTAATCATAGAACCATAAAATGGTTTGGGTTGGAAGGGACCTTAAGATCATCCAGTTCCAGCCCCCTGCCATGGGCAGGGACTCCTCACACTGGACCTTGTTGCCCAACTTGGCAACTCCTCTGTCCAACCTGGCCTTGAACACTGCCAGGGACGGAGCATTCACAAGTTCTTTGGGCACCCTGTGCCAGTGCCTCAGCACCCTCACAGTAAAGAACTTCTTCCTTATACCTAATCTGAACTTCTCCTGTTTCAGTTTGAACCCACTACCCCTTGTCCTATCGCTATAGCTCCTGGTGAAAAACTAAACTATCCAAACCTCTTAAACATACAGCAGGCTATTTTGCCAGTTGGACTCTCTTTGGTAGTTTGTTTTGGTGACCAGATTAAGTCCATATTCATCCACTGTCACAATGGCCACGGGCAGCACAGACAAGGAAGGAAGTCCTCACTGTGCACTTCCCAAAGATCTTGAAAGGATTTCAGAGCAAGATCTATATCCACAGATACGCTGCATAAACCATGCACAGGGAGAAGCGTCATTCCAACGGGTGGCAGCAGAGCCAGGCAACATTCTGCATTTCTCTAATACTCTGTCAAAACCTAGATAATAGCAAAGTCATAAGAAGAAAATGGTCTCTATTTCCTTTGACACAGGTGAAGAATAGGAGTGTGATGGAAAAGGGGCTGAGTTCTTAATATTGAAGACAGCAACTCAGTAATCCACACTCTCACCCTCCCTCAGTAATATTTACAGTGTATGCACTTCCATTCATGATATTTCTTCTATTCAGATCATTTTCACTGTCTTCACAGAAATCCCACATACTTTCTTTAGGGATTTTACTAATTCTCACCCAGCCTCCCCAGCTCCAAACTGGGCAGCAGCTACAGAAGGCAATGGTAGCCACACCAGGCCTGGAGCAATGCAAGGGTTAATAACTCCTCCCCAGAGAGTTAAAATCAAAGTGAAATACAGTTATGAGGCAATCTTATTCACTATCAACCCAATCAATGGAAGGTTCCCATAAGCCATTAGCAAGGAGTTCAGATGCAGAAGATGCCGTGATGGGTTAGATAGAGATGTTTTTGTGTTCATCAGTACTGACAGCTCAGGGAGAGAGAAGGAAGGAGAGAAGGAGGGTGAGAGAGAGGAAAAGGAAATTCAGGATTGGGACACAGGGAGAAAAGAAATTACCTGTCAACATGTAAACTGCATACAATTCCCATATGATGTACTAAGGCAGTGTATTAAGTCATGCACTAGAGACAGGAAACCATGTGGGCCAATATTCAAGGCCTCAGCCTCCCCAGTGGTGAGTCTGGGGGTGACTTTGCAGTTTAGTACTAATCATGGACTGGCCAGAGGGCAAAGATTTCGGAATGTCACCAGAGGAGGAGGTGATGCGCGCTGAAGAGGCCCCACGTTGGGCGGTATAACAGAATCGAAAAGAATGCAACTCCCACGGGTTGAGA